CACCTTACATCTTCAGCTGATATCCATACTTTACTGTTATCTCAGTGCTCATTATAAACAGGAAAAGTACCAGTAATGTTTCTAGTAGTTTTGTTCAATTTTTATTTTATATATCTTCTTTTCTGCTTAGCATTCTCTGGCTGTAAACTCTGGTAGAAAGTTCTGGTTGAATGTTGAACTTCTTCTTCTTCTTTCGTTTGCATGAAATAAATTGTCTATATCTGCAAAGCTGTCTCTAGTATGAATTTCACTGTCTTTTGTAATTCACTAAGCGGCCCGTAAAGTTTGACTTCCACAAGTGTCTCTTTTGGTAATTTGGCTGTATCCCTGGTATTATTAGGATACTCAATGTAAACTCCCGCACCTCCGTTTCTGACTGCGCTTTCTGCTGACCCATCTGTGTAAACACGGACCCAAAGGTTCTGCGGGTATTCATCATCAAGTAGACTGAGGGTGGCTGTTTTGCGCTGCACACTGTTTTGTTCTTCCTTGTCAAATACCCCTTTCACTTCAGTCTTGATGTGTATTGGAAACTTATACTCCTCTCTCCAGGGGGTCCGTTCTGGGACAGCATTTAAGGATCTATCAGTTGCAGGTAAATCAGTGGTTTGTCTGCTGAGCCGTTTGGCCTGGTGGATAAAACTACTTCTCTTTAGTCGTCCCAAAGCTAAATTTTGGAATCTTTCATTCATAGGGTGACTGGGCATACTAAGAAACTTTTCTGCTTGTAAAAGCATCTTGGTGTCTCTGCGTTCACTCAGTGCTTGGGTCATCCCCATTTTCTCCATCACAGCTATAAGTGTTGATTTCATACTGCCTGTGGTAACTCTGAGTGCTTGATTTTGCACTTTGTCTAATTCTTGCAATGTGGTTTTTGATGCCGAACTCCATGCTGTTGATCCGTATTCAAGATGTGGTCGAACACTTTGTTGGTAAACTTTTCTAAGTATTTTCCCGCTAGCACCCCATGTGGTTCCACTTAGTTTTCTCAGAATGGCTACCCTCCTTCTGGCTTTGGTTGCTGCCTTGTTGATGTGTTTTCTCCATGTTAATCTATCATCAAACGTTACGCCGAGGTATGTGGGCTCCTTATCCTCTCTCAGGGGTACTCCATTTATGTGCATGACACCTGATTTTTGTTTAGGAGAAAGGGTAAAGAGGGTGGTGCTGCATTTGCCTATGTTGATGCTGACACACCATTTGTTGGCCCAATCAGCCATTGCATCTATGGCTCTTTGTAGCAGCCTGGTGGCCACTGTCGCATTTTCATTTGTACACCAGAGTACCAAGTCATCAGCATACATTGCAGCTTTAATTCCATGGGGTTGTTCAGAAAGCAGGTCGTTGATATAGACTAGGAAGAGTGTGGGGGACAGAACACCTCCTTGTAGGACGCCATGGCGCAGCAAAACTTTCTTACTCTTAAGTCCATCTGTCTGTACTCGGGATCTTCTGTTATACAAGTATGCTTTCACCCATTTGTACATTCTCCCATTCACCCTGCAGTCTCTAAGTTTCTTCAGTAGACCTTCTTTCCAGACCTTGTCAAAGGCTTTCTTCAGATCTATCCATGCCGTTAGCACTAGCTTCTTTTCCTGGAAGGCATCCTCAATTTCTTGTGAAAGGTAAGTTGTCTGGTCTTCTGTGGAGTAGCACTGTCTAAATCCTGCCTGCTGCGGCGTGAAAATGTTTTCACTTTTTTTGGAGTCTAAGGTTGACAATACGTTCCATTGTTTTACAGAGGCAGCTGGTAAGACTGATCGGTCTATAGCTGGAGGCATCAGAACTGTCCTTTCCTGGTTTAAGCAGAGGTATTGTGATTGCTTCTCTCCATATTTGAGGAACTTTGCCACTGGTCCAACAATGATTAAAGATCTGTAGCAGCTTTTTTTTGGCAGTTGTTCCAAGGTTCTTGATCATTTCGTTGGTGATACCATCAATTCCAGGTGATTTTCCCATTCTCAGCTTTGATATTGCTAACTCTAACTCGCTGAATGTAAGTGCTGCCACCAGTGCCTCAGGAATTATATCTTTTTGTCTTATATGTTGTTTGTTTTCTTGAACCTCTCGCTGTTTCTCTGGGCTGACATTAATGTTGCTGTCTTCTGCAAAGGAATCTGCAAAGTGGTCAGCTGCCTGTTTTCTTGTTAGGATGGCTCCCTCTTTGCATAGTGCAATATTACCATTTCTTCCTGTATTCTCATCATTAATTTGCTTAATTAACCTCCACAACTTCCTTGTGTCTCTTTCAAAGTTTAGAGACTTTGTCTTTTCTTGCCAGCTTGCCCGTCTAGCCTGCAGTTTGGCTCTTTGAAATTTGGCCTTTGAATGTTGGTAGTTGTTAAACTGCTCTTGACAAGGTCTGGTCTCAGCTTGTTTTCTTTCTGTTTCCATATTGTTGTGCAGTTGCTCCAGATCGCAATTCCAGTACAGTTTGTATTGTTTACGCGCACCTCTTGGAACTGCTTCTAGGGCTGCCTGCAGCATGCGTTTGCTCAACTCTTGGACTACTTTTTCTACGTCGTTATCTGTGTTTAGATTTTCCAGCAGAACATTTGTGCGAAGCTGATACAACTTCCAGTCTGCCTTCTTAAAATTCCACCTTGGCAGTGTGCTGCTCTCTCTTACAGACTGGCTTTCTATAGTTAGAAAGACTGGCCGGTGGTCACTGCCTCCTAGTTGCTTCCCAACAGTTCTGGTAACATTCAGTTCCATGTCTGGTGAGTGAAAGGCTAGGTCTGGTGTCAAGGTGGTATGCCATGCTCTAGAGTAGAAGGTTGGTGGGTCGGTTGGCTTATTAACGAGGATGAACCTATTCTCATCCTGCCAGTCCTCTAGTTTCTCTCCTCTCTGATCCATATGATCGTATCCCCAACTTTGGGAATGGCTATTAAAATCCCCACAAATGATCATTTTTTCATTTATTAGTACTGTATCCAGTGCCTGAGGGCGGTCGCTCGGACAGTAATAGTTGGTCAGATGTAAATCTGTATTTTCTAACTTGAGCTCAAGTGTTTGATACTCAGCACCTTCCATGTATGTTTCGATCCGGCCCGCAAGGATGTTATTTTTGACCAGGGTAAGAATTCCACCTTTTCTCCTGTCTTTGCGGTCAGATCGGAAACACTGGTAGCCTCTGATCTTAAAGGCCATATCTTGTTTGAGATAAGTCTCTTGTAGGCAGCATACATGTACATTCTCTTCGTTCAAGACGTTTTCTAATTCTAATTTCTTAGTATTTACTCCTTCCGCGTTCCAGTGCATTATTTTAAAGCTAGCTGTATTTTCTGCTTTTCTGGTTCTACGGGGCATTAGGGGGAGGCTTCGAGTATTTGAAGCTGGACTCTTTCTTCTTGTCTTAGGCCGGTAAATCGAACCACGTGTACATGAGTGGATCGCATGGTGGAAATCAAACTTATTTGCAGATATAGAAATATTCCCTGTTGCGTTTGTGCGTGGCATCCTGATTGCTGTGGTGCGCCTCCTGGCTGGTTGCCTCCGACTTCAGCACCTTGTTTTGCTAGAGTAGACTGGGGTCTTACCCGTGGACTCCCATGTTTATAATGGGAGCGTGGCTCCTACACGGTTACATTATCGGAATTAGGACACGGCCGCCGCCGTGGCTATTTTGTGGAAATAATTCCGTTATAACACCCCTAAACCACATAATACTTGTATCCACGAACAAGAGAATATCCATCGTCAATGAATTCGTAATAATCGCACTTTGTTATCAAGAGAAAAACACCGATTAAGTAAAAATTTTAGAATAAAATCGAGTGTCGCCGCAAACACGTCTTCACGCTGCCATTTCTAAACCGGAAGTCAATGTTGAACTAAAAATTGACATTACAGCACTCGGGACACTCCCATAAGTGCTCCGTCTCTATCTTCAGCAGCAAGAGAAGAGTTCCAATTCCGATGGTACCAGTAACCGTCTGATTGTATATCCGTCTCACCCTTCCCCTGAGTGTTGAGCGTCGGCCAGATCCCCTGTAACTCCTGGCAGCTCCATTCTCCTCAGACCGTGATGATCTGTCTGTGCTTCCGCACTGTTCACCTGCTCCCAAAGGGCCCTCACAATATCTAACTTGTCAAACATCAATTCACCACCAAGTGGTGCAGAGCCAGCCAGTCTATCTGCCTACTCATTTCCAAACATACCTTTCTGGTTGTTCATCCACGTCAGGGCTGTAGCCTTCTTCCGGAACTTGAGTTTAGCATGCACATCCATTTTACACATCCAGCTTATTTTTGTGCACTGTTGGTTCCTCACCTCTCAGGGAAATACACTGTTGGCTTCAAAGGAATGTTTTTATATTAGGTGTACATAGAAAAGTTTCAGCATCTGTGGCTTTGTCGTTGCTAACGCATTTCGTAATACCGGGTTGCCAGGTTCGATCCCAGCTGCAGGCGATTTTTCTCCTTGCCTTGGTTTCGACAGAGGTATCCTAGCCGACCGTTCAGAATCAATGGCAAAATACTGAACATAAAATGTGCCTATAAAAACACAACATCCAAGAAATGCTGGGGTTGGTTCTGCAACTTCCTTTAAAGGATAAGCAACTAACTTTTTTAACATAGAAAATATTTAAAGGTTCCTTTTCCACGCCTTTAAGTGTATTGGGAATATAGGGCTAGACCTATATTTTTATAGACCAGTGGGCACTTGTGTTATGTGGTCAGAATTACGCCGGTTGCTTTTATTTCTTAGGACTGCACCTGGAACCCACTTAAGGCTGGGTCGACCTGGGAGTGAAGGTAATTTTTGCAAAAAGTCCGGCTTCTTTAGGACGTGAACACACAACCTTCCGATCCGCAGGCGCCACGACTTCCTGTAGAAAATATGTAGTACATCTGAAACATTGTATGGAATCATTTTATCTTCTTCATTTACACAGCAACATTGCAAATTGATTTAAATGTACATGTTTCGTCAACAGAGAGGCTGTCAGGAGTGATTCCCTCTTGAGGGCGAGATTGATTTACTAATAACGCAAATGACTGACATGGCACAGGGCCGACCAATCAAATGTGTTGTTGTTGGAGATGGAACTGTAGGGAAAACATGTATGCTAATCTCGTACACAACAGACAGTTTTCCTGGAGAGTATGTCCCTACTGTGTAAGTTGCAATTTTTAGTATCTGTGTAAATGTATGTTGTATTAATTTATCTCCTGTACTTGCCAACATGAGCCAACTTTTACACTGACCTGCTCAGTTTTATTTTCTTAATTTGAACTTCTGTTCTTCTAAGCATTCACCAGCTGTAAACTGCAGGGGAAAGTTCAGATTGTTGGTCCACCTCTGGACTTCAGTCTTGTTTCAGAACTTGAATTTTGCATGCACATCTGTTTTACAGATCTGGCTTACTTGTGTGCTCACTGCTGAGGCAGATACGCTCTGACTTCGGAGAAAAAATCCCTAATTAGTCACCTTTTGCGACATGCTTCCTTCAGAGTTGAAAACTAGACGAGACAGTGTTACGAATACCAGGGTTAGAGAGAAAGGTGGAATAAGACCATGTCTAGATTTTATTGACAGACAGAGAATGAAATGGTTTGGCCATCTAGTGAGAATGCAGCCAGACCAGACTACATAAGACTTTTTAACAGTAGAACATCTGGGATGAAGGTGAGAGAAAGACCAAGAAAGAGATGGATAAATGGTGTAGATGAAACCTGCAAAAAGCTGAATAAATCTATCACTCAAGTCATCCAAGAAGTGCAAGACAAAAACAGAAAACCTCAACACTTGGCTACAACCTGGTAACAGTGAGATGACAGTGAAGAAGAAAAAGAGTTTAAGTTCATCTGCCCGAGAGGCGAGAAACCAGCAGTCTGCATACAAATAACCAGATCTGTAAAATGGATGTGCAAAAATTGAAGTTCTGGAACAAGGCCAAAGTCTTGAAATGGGCGAACATAAATTTTCTGCCAGAGTTGACAGAAGAAGATTGTAGCTCCCCGTGTGGGTTCCACAGCCCATTTGGAGTGGAGGAGGGGTGTAAATGAATAGGCTCCCAGCCCCCAACAAGCATGTTGTAAAAGGCGACTAATTACGAGTCTGCTGAAATCGGATTTATTGGGCCGGAAGATGCCAGTATTGCAGTCTTGCTGTAAACCACCCCTTAAAGGATGAACGCACACCGCGAAAAAGTGTTTCCCTCAACTGAGAGAGAGGGAAAGAGAGAGAGAGAGTTATGAGTTGGATTGTGTTCACGGTACTCCAGACACATCCATAGGTGCTCAGATTCCTCTCTTCAGCATTTTCATCATCATCCTGTGGTTAATAATGCCAGCCCTATACTGGTTAACAAGACTTCTTATAAGTCCAGTGTGTCTCTCATGCTTGGCTGTGCCGATCTTTATTCCCAATTCTTGTATTCTTAGCATTGATGTGGACACGCTGCTCTCAAAATCTTTGGACAATCCTATCTCTCTAAGGGGATTAACATTGTCAGCATGATCCATACACTGGCCACTTGTAATTAAGGCATAACTATCCGCACTTTCCTTGTCAACAACACCTGCAATCCCTGCGACAAAGATAAAGTAAATGCATGCACAGGGGAGTTTTACAATGACTCAATCCACTATCTGGGTTTGAAGCCCGCCTCGACCCAGCGGGAAAGAGAAAGGGGAGAGGGTGCTGATTGGTATAAGCCTGCAAAAATCTGAAAGGGATATCACTCCAACACAGCGACATCTGAACCTGTCATACCAGAAATGAGAAAATTGTGTATGCTTTTTTTTCTTAAATCTACAGGTTTGACAATTATACAGCCAACATGATGGTGGATGGTATTCCAGTTAGTCTAGGATTGTGGGATACTGCTGGACAGGAAGACTATGACAGGCTTAGACCACTTAGTTATCCACAGGTAATGTATATGTGTGATCTTGATTAGACAGTAATCTTACAAGGTTGAATAATGTCTCTGTTTGCCAATTACTTGCCTTTGTGATACAACTTTTGTGGTGTAGGCAGGGTGGGTCTTTGAGCCTGAAGATAGGTTGAATAAAGTAGAAAGCTAAATCTCACAATTTTAACAGTTTAACATTTGCATCTGTGACTAGGAACATACCATTCATTGTCCTTCAGCAGTGGGTATCACACTTTTCAGCACGAGTTGCCATTCTTAGTAAACTTATGTTCATACATATGTGTGGTCTAAATGGTACAAATTGTACAACATACTCAAGAACACATGTTTTATGTCTAGATAGATTAGTCTGACTGTTACTACTTAGAATAAATCACACTAAATATGCAACAGTTGTTGCTGCATGCTCACAGAAAGTTTAGTTTTTTTACAATGATGTCAGTCCAGCCATGTTGCTGTCATCCTGGGTTGATGTCACTTCAGTTGCCAGTACATATTCATATTGACATTCTTTTCCTCCCCAGACTGACGTATTCCTCATATGTTTTAGTGTTGTGAGTCCATCATCTTATGAAAACGTCATCACAAAATGGAACCCGGAGATAAAACACCACTGTCCGGAGGCTCCGGTTATAGTAGTAGGTAGGTGGTGGTGTTACCGGTTTGTTTTCAATGTCATGGCAGTAGGTGAAAGAATTGTCTACCTATGAACAGCCATCTGGTGGCTTGGCTTAGAGATATAATATTTGCCTCGAACTACATCAGATCGGAGGGGGTGCATTGTAAGGCTATGTGATTCGTTCCGTATCCTTTACATGATGCTGCAGAGCTAACGCCAGAATTGTTTTGTCTGATGTGGTTTTTCTGGGCAAATTTATGTTCATTAGTTTGCTGTTGCTTCTGAACAGTCAGCACTCGAAACCACTGTCGAAACCAGTGCTGGATGATCTGCTACCAAATCACCTGCAAATGGGATCGAACCCAGGCAATTTGGCATTACGAAGCACGTTTGCAACACCTAAGCCACAAAAGCTGATTATGGCTGTTTAGTGTATTGTATTAAATAAATGATAATTTTAATTAAATTACATTTTAGAGTGGCTGGGGGGAAAAGGGGGGAGTGGAGGGGGGGGGGGGGGGGGGTCATTTTTAGCCTAAAGATTAATGGGTGGTGCAGTCACCATGAACTGTGCAAATCAGGATGTATGTTTTTTTTTTTTTTATGTAGACCCTGAAAGATAAAAACCGTCTCTTTATTCAAGATTGTAATTCCTGTAAAGGTCCAGGCCATTTGGGGGAGGGGGGGGGGGGGATAGACCCACTGCCCACCTAACAAGGATGTCAGAAAGGCTGACTAATTAGGGTATTTCCTTTTTCCTTTAATGTCGAGTGCATCTGTTTGAGAGGTGAGGAACCAACAGTCTGCATACAAATAAGCCAGATCTTTAAAATGGATATTCTTGCCAACTCAAGTCTGGAACCAGTCTAAACTCCAGAAGTGGACGAACAGTCAGAACTTCCACTGGAGTTTATCGCTGGTGAGCACAAGGAAGTAGAATGTTCAAAATATGTACTGAATTAGAGCCCAGTATTTATCTGTGCAGTCGGATTAGAAAGTTGAGTGTAGGACTTGTATATTCATCTCTGCTTCTGGAGTAGTGGACCGGACATCTGACTTCATCCATCAGTGGTGAAAAAAGTAGACGGATCCATGTGTACATTAGGCATGATGAGCATCCCCCCTCCCTTTTCCCCAAAGTAAAGGTCCCTTGTCCATGCCTTTAGGCATATAGGGTTAGACCTTTTTTAAAGACCAATCAGCACAAGATGAGTTATGTGGTCAGCATCACGCCGGCCACCTTTACTTCCCGGGACTGCACCCGGTACCCACTCAAGACTGAGTCGACCTGGGAGTCAAGGTCATTTTTGACAAAAGTCCGGCATCTCCAGGGAGTGAACCCACGACCTGCTGATCCGCACGAGAACATCTAGCCACTACACCATGGCGACTCCCTTGCAAGATCCCCAGCATTTAAAAATTGAAACAAGTATAGGACAGAGATAAATAATTTGGTGCAGACTTGGAAGAAGCAGCAGAGGATGGCATGGCTTGGTGATATTAGTCTGTCCCTCAAGGGTACGCAGGTGTGCAAGGAAATAGCAAGCTGATAGGCTTGCAGGTAAAGCTTCTGTGGAGGGCAGATGAGCCATTGACCAGGCAGATATTGTGAATGCTCTACAAGAAGTAAGATGTTTGCGAGAACCAAGTAATGGCTGAAGTAACCATGAACAGACTGCAAGAACAGCATGTTAAAAGGTGTGTGGCCAGATAGGAGCTATATGTAGGAAGCCAAAGAAGAATAAGAAGCCAACACAGAACTGGTGTCTTCAGCCACTACACACTGCGGGATTTACTGAGGAGGAGATCTGAGAACTTATGGACTGAATGGTTCGATGTGCAATGAGGATAATTTGTCGATTAAATAACAAAGAAAGGAAAGTTTCTGCTGTCTTCATTTGATAAGTATTTCCTTTTCGTAGTCTCATGCATTGCTAGGTTGCCATTTCTTTCTTCAGATAGCTTATCTCGAGCAGACAACACAACAACACTGGTATAGACCCCACTGATCTGTTTTCTGATATTTAATTGTGACTTATATTATATGAAAGAAGAATGAAACAAGAACTGATATCACTGCACTCAGGACCTTCTCATATGTGCTCCGTCCCCTTCTTCGTTAGCCAGTGAAGAATTTCTGTATTGATAGTGCTGTTTGCAGCTAGTTGGCTATGAGATAATGTGAGCAGTCCCAGGCACTACTCTGTCACTAAAATAATTAGCTGCTGGTATACTATGTATAGAAACCATGTCAAAGTGGTCATGGCGTTTGCTTCATACTCTGAAGGTGGTGGGTTTGTTTCACAGCTGTGCCTTTCAGTTCACAAGTGCTGTTTTTACTTAGGTCTTTAGGGATCGTGGCTGCAGCTACAGAGTTGTTGCTTTGTGTGACACATTCGGCAGGCGGCTAGCCGTTCTGCAGAGAGAGACCGAGCCATATGGGATAAGACCTGATACAATGGAATCTATCCTCCCGACTTTATAACAGTTTTTCATCTCTGCTAATATGACCTCCATAACATTAAGTCCCTTTCTAGTTTTTAACACACATGGTACTTGAAATAAAGACAGGCATCTGTCAAAAGTTTTTCCAAAGTTATTTGAGTAAATTCTTGCCTTTGATCTTACTGTTATTTGTTGTCTTTTTCTTCTTCTTCTTCACATTCACCGGCTGTAAACTTTGGGGGGAAAGTTCTGGTTCTTGTCCACCTCTGGACATTAGTCTTGTTCCTGAGCCAGAATGTTGTGTGCACATCCGTTTAACAGATCTGACATACTTGTGTGTGTTGATTGTTGGTTCCTTGCCTCTCAGGCAGATGCACTCTGACTTCAAAGGAAGCACCCAATTAGTCTACTCTTACGACATGCTTGTTGGGGAGGCAGTGGGTCTATTCTTCTTTTCCACACATATGGGGTCCCGGAACCCACACAAGGAGTTATTTATTGTGATGTTCAGGACGTCATCGCTAACAGTTTTATTATTTAATGAACACTTCTGCTGTAACTGTATATATCTCTAACTACCCACACACATCTTTCATTGCTTAGGTACCAAAATTGACCTCAGAGAAAACAAGGAAACAATTGGGAGTTTGACCGCCCAGGGTCTCAGTCCAGTTAAAAGAGAACAAGGTATAAAACTGGCCAATAAGATACGAGCAGTCAAATACATGGAGTGCTCCGCCCTTACTCAGAGGGGACTTAAACAAGTAGGTCGTTGAGTTTGTTTGCTTGCCTATGTTTATAAATGGGTTAGTCTCCACTGGTCTCCTGAAATCTTGAATGATTGTTTTTCTTCTTATTCTTCTTCTCATTTTTTTCCACATTTACAGGGGTACAATGTTTTCTGTTTACAGCTGGGATGCGATAACTGCACATTTTGACCTGACATATGCAGTTTCAGAAACCTCTTGATTAATCACATTCTGCAACATGCTTGCTTAGATGCAGTAGGTTCCCCCCCCCCCCCCCCCCCCCCCCCCCCCCCCCCCCCCACCCCCCACCCCCCCCCCCCCCCCCCCCCCCCCCCCCCCCCCCCCCCCCCCCCCCCCCCCCCCCCCCCCCCCCCCCCCCCCCCCCCCCCCCCCCCCCCTCCAGTAGGGCCCAAGAACTATCTCAGGAACTTGTCTTTATCCAACTTCGTGGAGGTCTCCCTCTGCCTAATCATCTCTGCTGCTTGTGCTAGCTCTGTCATTGTTCTGTTCTCCAGTTCCCATAAATGACCTGCCTGGCCTAGTGGCCTCACCATCAGATCTTTGGGATTCATTTTCGGCTTCCAAATAGATTAGAGTTTCTGGGGATTAATATTGCTTTCCACATAAAGATGGCTGAGCACCTCAACCTTTAGCACTCTTTTAGATTCCTAGGGTAAGTAAGTGCTCTGCTGTCTGATGCTTCTGCAGACAGCAGATTATTACAGTTTCTGTATTAGATTTAACTGACTCCCATTGGAGGATAAAGAGTAGAATAAGAAGATAGTGCAGTCTGAAATATTACAGCACACAAAAATCTGTGAGTAGACTGTGAATCCGGGGTAATGCTGACCACTTTACCCACCTAGTGCCGATTGGTCTGTAACATTGTGGGTGCCCTTACCTTTTGCCTGATGCGCCTAAAGGGCTGAAAATGGATGTTTACTTCTTCTTCTTCTTCGCGTTCACCAGCTGTACACTCTGGCGGAAAGTTCTGGTTGTTCGTCCACACCTGGACTGCAGTCCTGCTCCAGAACCTGGGTGTTGCGTGTGCATCAGTTTTACAGATCTGATTCACTTAAATGCAGACTGTTGGTTCCTTGCCTCTCAGGCAGATGCACCCCGACTTCAAAGGAAGCTACCAATTAGTCGACTCTTACGACATGCTTTTTGGTAGGCAGTGGGTCTATTCTTGTTTTCCCCCCACAATGGGGCCCCGGATCCCACACAGGGAGGATGTTTACTTACTTTACTTTACTTAGAATATGTGAATACTATTTATAAAGGACAGCTAAATACTGACATTTTATAGAATTGCTTCTATCTGTTGCTTCAGATTCCTGTATTGTCCTTGGGATGTTTCTTCCTCTAGCTGCTTCAGTAAAGTGTGTATGTATGTGCTGGGTGGGAGGGGTAAGGATCTTTGTGTTCTTTCTTTCTGGGGGGCTGCGTGGTCTCGAGGTATGGTGTCCGCTTGCTCATTACATTTATTCAGTGTTACTTTCCTTGATTGTTGACAGCAGGGCATTTTGTTAGATGGGGAAACCTTTTTTTTCTTGTTGTTCTTTAATTAATTTTGCCGTGTTCTATTATCTCCTCTGCTTTGTTGCTCCAGTCACAAATATTAAATGTTCTTATTCTCTTTCAGTCTTGATTGGTAAAATTCATCTTCTTATTACTTGTTGAGAATCTTTGTGCAGGTAGTTAAGTTAGTTAAAATTGTTTACCGTTTTCTGGGCCTTTTGTAGATTCATTCTGATGTAAAACTACTAAATTTAAAAAGTTAAAAACCTCATCATCATCATCAGGTGCCTTGCCAATTGGCCTGGGCAGTCATGCCTCTCCACAATCTGCGTTTTGCAACTTTGTGTATCAGTTTGTGAGTTGATACCACTCCATGCCACGACAAAAGGCTGTCCAGAATCTTCTACGCGGTCTTTCTCTCTCTCTCTCGTTTTCCACAGATCTTTCCAGTAGTCACAACATGTTCCAGTTTTCTTCTTCTCATAACATGACAAGAAAATGTTGACTGTCTCTTTCTGATGTTTGTGATAAGTTGTCTTCAAACCCTCACCTTTTTCAAAACATCTAGTTACTTTTTTTTTAGCTGTCCAAGGATTCTTCTTCGGTAAAAACACAGCTCAGAAGTCTCAAGAAATTGTTTGGCTTATTTATTAATTGCCCAGAATTCACAGCCATATATTAAAACCGGCTCCAAATAGAATGCAAAAATTCTTTTCCTAACCTCTAATGACATGGATTTATTGCGTAAAATGTTCTTTATTTTATAAAATACAGTTTTAGCATGTCTGTACCTTCCGTAAGGTGTGCCCAGATACTTAAATTTATTTACTTGTCCTAAAATAATACCTATGACTTTTATTATATATTTAGGCATTATTATTACCACTACTTCTGTCTTTCCATTGTTCAATTTGGGGCCCATTTGATCCTTTTCTGCTATCACGATAACTGCCAATCCCTGTAGTTCTTTCTAACCTGTCGCTATATTCAAATCACACTCATTTAAAAAGAAAAGGGTAAAATGGTATGTGGACTTGAAATCAGAGGTGCTGAATCTCTCTCTCTCTCTCTGTCGCTCTTTGTCCCTCTCTCTGTCGGTCTCTCTCTCTCTCTCTCTCTCTCTCTCTCCCCCTCTCTCTCTCTCTCTCTCTCTCTCTCTCTCTCTCTCTCTCTCTCTCTCTCTCTGTGTATGTATATACAAATATATTTATGTGTATAGTGGTGCGCAAGGACCAGGGCTGATACTTGTCAAGACTTATCTACACCTCTCTGCTGTCATCCCAGGAACAGGTTCCCAATCTGAGAGGCAAGAAACCAACAGTCTGCACACAAATAAGACAAATCAAATCTGTAAAATGGATGTGCACACAACACTCAATTTCTGGATCTAGACCAAAGTCCATAAGTGGAAAAACAGCCAGGATTTTCTGCCAGAGTTTATCGCCGGTGAACATGGAGGTGGAGAAGAAGAAAAAAAGAATTCTGGAGACTGACTATTTCTGTATTTTGTCAGGTATTCGATGAAGCTGTCCGTGCAGTCCTGCAGCCTCAGCCAGTCAGAAGGAAGCAACACAAGTGTGCGATGCTGTGATGAAGAGGCGATGCTATACATGTGTGCTTGCTTGTGTGTATGTCTGGGTGCTTGCTTGTACTGTGAGACTGAGGTTGAGCTGGGTCGCTACTGAAACCCATTGTATATTAAATGTTTTGATTTTAATGAACTCATTCAGGCGCGTACTTCAGTTTGGAGTTATGTCATTCTTGATTCATTTTCACATTGTGTTCAGATGCACAACAAAGTCTCCAATGTCATTCAAGATAGTTATTATTTAAAAAAAAAAGACTTTGAAGTCCCAAGCAGGCATAATTTAACTCAGTATATGCTAAATAATTGTTACTTCAAGTAAGACTTCTTCATACTCTTTGTATTGAATATCTATGTCCAGACAATGCCAGAAATGAAACGCATAGTTGACTAGATAGATGGTTATCATGCGGTGCCGTAAAGCGTATTGCGTGGCCATAACTTGCTCAGTATTCACTTTTACATGCCGCTCTACTCACAACTTAAGTTTACAACTGTAACTTGCTCTTACACTGCCCATCTTTAACTGCTTACAGGTACTATTGTTTTTGGTGTTTGTATCTCAACAAAAATCTAAGAACATTATTTGTTCCTAAAATTATCATCTCAGAAACTGAGTGCGGTCTATACATGTTTGCAACCTACACATGTGTAAATATGGTAGTGGACTAGAAGTACACTTCAGTGGTAGAAAGAATAAAAATAGTTGAACAGAGTTCTAAAAGTAAATGCATAGTTGATTAGATTCGTGATAATTACAGAAACATATAAATAGCTGGCCTTACCCAACATCATTCTTTGATGTGAAAACATAGTGCCTTTAGTTGCCAAATTGGTCGGCCAACATAGAAACCACTTCACGGTTTCAAAAGTTGTTTCTTTTATTTGAAATAAAAATAGTTCCATGTTTTCCTTTAATTAATCAATTTTTTCTTACATGTATGCTAGACATTGGTTGTGTTGACAGTTTTGACCAGAGATCGAATGGATTGGAAATGTTATTGCAAACAGTTTTAAAATAATCCACGATCAATTTCTGTAAAACGTTTTTGCATAATATGCATAGCTGATTGTACGTGTGTGTGTTTTGTTTGGCACTGTTGGCCAGGTATTGATTTTATAGGAAAACCTGCAGAGTGGCAGATTGCTTCTATACGTTTTCGTTGTTAAATGGCCAGTTAGCATAGCAGGTGTTCAGACATAATTCCATGCAGAACTACCAGAAATTGCCACATACAAGTCAACCTCAAGATTTTTAGCTCAAAATTTTGAGTTGGGCCTGTACCTACCATATAGATCAGCGCCGGCCCCTCCCCCAAATTCAGACTTCTTTAGATCAGATGAGGAACTGTATTGATCCAGGTGAACAGTCTGTGTTTACACTGAGTGTGTCAGGTGTTAGGTGCAATGTGTGCTGTAGTATTAATGGAATACTGAATTTGTGTTGCTGTTTTATTATTTTATTATATTAATTTTTTTGTGTTAATTCTCATCATGTGGTTTCCAGGCTCCATTGTAGGGGAAAGTAAATCCCACTAACCCCTTATAATCATGTTGTAAGAGCTAACTAATTAGGGTTGGTTCCTTCAAAATTAAAGTGCATCTACCTGAGAGATGAGGAACCAAAAATACCAAAACATAAGCCAGATCTATAAAATGAATGTGCACGCAGAAGTCAAGTTCTAGAGAAAAACCAAGCTCAGAAAAGGACACACACACAAAAAAACAGAACTTTCTGCTGGCGTATGGTTGGTGAACTCCAAGAAGAAGAAGTGTTATTATGCCAGATATGTTCACCAGACACACATTTTAGTGGGATGTGTTTGTTGCCGCCTGCTGGGGGTAGAGTAAGTGGTGTACAGTGATTGTTAGGAGTGCTTTGCCACTTGTTTACGACTAGGTTGTAAAGGTCTGCATTTGACTCCGGCCATATAAGTCAACCCTTAGTTTTGGAAAGTTTGTTTTTTCAAGTTTTAAAATATGACTTGTACACAGAGATTTACAGAACATGAAAATGAAACTAATCAGTTTATGATATGTGGGGTTGAGGACATCTCCAGACTTTGTTATTGCTTTTGAATGTTCATTGCCATTGCCATGTTTTGTTGGAAGTGTTCATGGCCAGTGTGAATATTTGAAGCGATGATGCTGTTTTATCAGTGGACACTCTATGGGTTTCTCTGTCTTTTGCAAACATGCACAAACGCACATACTAAATCTCTCTTTCTCTCTCTTGCATATAATACAGATATAAACATACTTTTAAATGAACTAAATGTCTGCAGTCCATTTAGCCATCTCTGTCTCTCCTTCTTACACACACACACACACACACACACACACATGCCCACACTCATAGTGCATTAAATTCACACAAACATGGGTTAGATTGGTTGTCTCTCTCTCTCTCTCTCTCTTTCTTCCACATAAACATATGTATAACTTCTTCCCTGATATGTCTGGTGCCTTCTTTTCCAGGACTAGAAAAGGCTAGTAGTCAGTTTATTCCATTGAAACTTCTTAACTGCTAGCACAGATATTGTAACCATTCTGCTTTTATTTAATTTATTTTAATAAACAATACTTATCAGACAAAAAAAACTGACTATCCTGGAAAACATATTTAAACTGTGAAGGTATTTTAACTATCCTCAATAAGGTTTAAGCAGTTCTGGCAAGTTTTAAAAAAAGAAATTTAAAAAAAAAACTGTCTTAACAAGGTATTTCATGTATTCTGTTCTGTATTTTTAACTTCATAATATAATATTTTAACAATTCTGGTAAAGATGTTTTAACATTCTCACAAGGTATTATTTAATTTTTGTTAAAATTTCCTATGATCAGTAACTTATATTTTTAATTTATTTGCAACATTTACTTGTTTTTCAGACTTTCATACATAATTGAAGCTGATAATTATGATTCTGCAAGTTAGAGAGCAGCGTATTAAGTGAACATGACACTTGTTTTATGGAGGTTTATATAATAGATGTATAAATATATTATTAGTTCACTGGCTGCTTGATAAACTGCCAGTTTGCATTGGAAACTCGTCGTTTCTGATTTATGTGCAATGTTTTCATGTGTTCATATTTTTGGTATGTGACTCATATTTTATAAGGTGACTCATTATACGATCATCTTTAGTGATTTTTTTTAAAGACAGCTTAAACTTTTCTGGAAACAACTGAAAGTATTTTGAGAGAGAGCAGCTGACAGCCTGTAAAGATGGATGTCAGAACAATTCTTATTTGATGTAAATGTGAACAAGGAACACACAAACAACTGGTAAAGTAAAAGTCCCTTTTCCACGCCTTTAGGCGTATAGGGCTAGACCTATATTTTTATAGACCAATTCGCACAAGATGGGTGATGTGGTCAGCATCACGCCAGCTGCCTTTACTTCCTGGGACTTCACCCGGTACCCATTCAAAGCTGGGTCGACCTGGGAGTCGAGGTCATTTTTTTTTTAAAAGTACAGCTCCGCTAGGAAGTGAATCTGCACACGAGCGTCTAGCTATGCCACAGCGACTCCGACACAAACAACTGGTTGCACAATTTCTTGCCTGGCAGATTTTATTGCTGTGAAGAGCTGACTGGGGGTAGACTATGAGGAAAGGTAAGAAGACGTTGAATGGAGAGATAACATACAGCCGCGTCGCTGGAGGAACCCCTCCCCCCTCCCCCCCCCCCCCTAAAAAAAGTGTACGCAGGAGTGAACAGAGATGGGAGTTTGTCCATCATTTCCTAAAGTTATTTTCCTAGTGTATGTGTGCCGTATATGTCGCAGCACAGGCCACTGGCAATATACAAAAACTGAACAGAGAAGGCTAAGGACAGAAGTTTGAGGTTTGAGCAATGGATCAACATAATGGCACATGGGTAGTAACCCATAAGTGCTCTGTTCTTCTTCTAACTCAAGTCTGAAGCTCAGTACAGTGCACAGGCTCTGTAGCAGCCAAGCACAGAAACGAATGCAGAAGAAGGGGGGATATGTACAGCAGTAAACCTCAAGGACTGCAACAGGTGAAGAAGAAGAATGTGTTCTGTAGCTCATCAGGTTCATATATCTCATCAGGTTCATACTACAAATCCTCAAAGATCTTAGTAAATTGTTGGATAACTGATTCACTTATAGTGATTTACTCAGGATATTCGTTTTATTTTTCAGTGTGGCCATATTTCATTGCTTGTGCATTAGTGATATTTTTAATTTTACCTACACAGTAAAGACAGGGTGAGGGAAAAGAAAGAAGGTTGTAAGTTGGCACCATGTTTATGTGTTTGAAATTTAGGCATTTATTTTTTTATGGATTTATTTATCTGTTTATATCAGTTTATCTATTCTTCTTTCGTTCGCCTGAAATAAGTTGTCTATATCAGCAATTTTGATATCAGTTTATATTTCTGTGAAATTTATAATCTGGTTACAGAGAGAAGGAAATAAGGTAGTGGAAATGAACAACACTGGACATTTAGAGATTGTCAAAGTGGATAAAATAATGTGTATTTACTGGTTGTGCTTAATACTTTATTTTCAGTGAATGTAATCAATGTTTGGGCTAGGAGGGGTTAAAACAACTCATGGCTGGGCCCAGCATGAAAGCAACAGCTGGCATAGAAGGTGACTCCCAATATCTAGAGTAGAGAGGGTTAATTAAAGCACCTGGCTAAGATAGTAAAACAGGCAACAAATGAGATTAGTAACAGTTGAATGAAATATAGTAACAATCGATTAAGATATAGTTACTATTGAATGGGATATAGAAACAATTGAATGGAATATAGTAACAACTGAATGGAATATAGTAACTGATTTTGATATAGTAACAATTGAATGAAATATAAAGAGTTACATCAATTTCTAAAAATAGGGTAAATTAATGTAACTCTTTTTAGTGACACTATTATCGTGTTTTCTTATCCAACACCATCATCTTTTCTTTACTTCTCGATTCGCTGAAATGTGTTTAAGTCTATACTCCACAAAAATGTTTCTGTCAAAC